ATGTTAGCCAGCTATAGGAATTTTCCTGGTGGCTCTTTTCTGCAGTTTGAGTAATGTCTTGTAGGTGTTATCCCAGACTTCTATATAATAGCTCAGGTATGATAGAAACAGGCACAATGTATTGCTTATAGTTCAGAAAATGTTTTGCTTTACTAAGATAATGATGCTTCTAGATTATTTAGAGTGGATATGTTTGATGTGAGGCTTCCAGTATAGTAGTCAATAAACAGACCTAATAATCTTATTCCATTTACTTGTTCCACCCCTACACTACCGTTTTTCACAATCACATCTGAGTTTCCTTTATAATTACCAAATACAATGAAACTATTTTTTTCCAGATTCAATGGCAGTTTCTTTTTGTCAAACCACTGATATAATCCAGGAGCTGCTGTAAACACAAACCAAGATAGAAGATATTTGCACCAGCTGCAAGCAAAACACACTTGAATACTTGTGAAACCTTATAGAAGTAATTTATGTAGAGATAAAACCATATCAGTCCTAATCTGGACCCTTGGGGACCATCACAAGCAATGTTCAAGAACCACCTCCTTCACACCATAATGCTCTAACTTCCTTATTAATATATTGTGATGAGTTGTTTAAGATATTTTTGGATTAACAAACAGACCAACTGAAAACTTATTTTAATCTATAGAGCTGATTATTTCCTCAGTTAATCCTAGAACTGCAAGAGCTGTGGATCTCTGTGATCTAAATCTATACTGCCTTTCAGAAAGCATTTTGAATTTCTCAAAAGAAGTTGTTCATGCTGCTAATAAAGAGTTTTTCCAAAAGCTTGGATAAAATGGGGAAGTAACAAAATGGGTCGATAATCTGTGAATTGCTGTCTATCTCCAGTTTTATATAATGGTATAGTTTTTGCATGAAAGAGAGGGTACCGATATGAGTCAGTGGTTTTAATAGTTGCCTCAATAACTCTTCTGACTCCAATGTAATTGGATATTTCATTTTTACATTTGATTTCTCCCTCTTCGAATGCTGTGAGAAACCCTGAGTTTCATTTTTTGTTATGAGCATCTCATTGCAGCTCTCTATCATCCAGGTTCAGGGATCTTTTCTGCCAGTTTTTCACTGACATTTACAGAATACTTTTAAAATGTTCCACCTCTTCAGAGAGATCATCAACATTAAATAGTGTTGCTCATAAAACATTTTGGATATTAATTTTGGTCTTTTCCTAATAACATTTTAATAATATTCTATATGTAATTTTATTATTATTTAATACTTGTATATAATATTCCTGTTTAAATGTCCTTAAAATGAATGTGGAATTCTCTACAGAGTGTGTTTTTTTCCCACGGACGTCCTCCAATCCTTTTGTGATCCATGGATTTTCAGAATATTATCATTTTGACATATATTCTATTGTTTGATAGTGTTTATCATATGTACCGTATATTTGAAAATGTTTGGGAATGTCATGTAAGCTTTGTGTATGCTTTCTTTCTTAAAGTATTTCATCTGTCATTCAGTCGTTGAATCCTCTCTTCTCATTCTTTTGTAATATTGTGTATAGTCATTAGCAGATTTTTCTAAATGATGTCATGATGCACAAACACCAGCAGATCACTGATATGATTAATGACACTTACTGTGTTGTTACCTATACGGTTTGTAAATATATTATCTATTAGTGTGGCACTTTGGGATGAAATCCCACTAGTTTTAGTGATATTTGGATAAAGGTTAAAACTATACACTGTATGCCTCTTTAAGTTTTGCAGATTCATATTGAAGTCACAGATTAAATATACATTCTGATTTATATTTATGAATGGTTCTTCAAACAATGCCGTAAACATTTCCACACTGAAACCTTATGTAGATGCGGTCTACCAGAATATTTCCTCTTGTCCACAAAGATTTAAACCATTATACATTTGACTATGCCTTCATTTTATCAGTTACCTTATATCTAGGGTTTCTGTCCACTTATGCAGCCTCTCTTTCACCATTCATGTCCATTCTATTCATATAGTCAAATTAATATTCCTCCAGTTAAAAGTCCATCCCATTTTCATGACCAAACCAGGACACATGATATTGTAATGATAATAAATGGCTGTGTGACCTGGCCTAGATGGTCAATGACTGCTGGAGTCAGCGTTTCCTGAGCCATTGCATCTATATGTATCCAAGACATAGGTCACATATTGTCACTTTGATGTTACGCTACCATTAAACCAAAGAAAACTTCATAAATTGATCACTGCTCACATGTTCATAGTAAAAGGTTTCCACAGACAGGGATGATTTGGTTATCAGCTGGTGCAGTATCTACCAGGGGAATTTATAGCAGATATCTAGGGCAGATGTTTTAGTCAACAGATAACCTTTATGGAGGTAATCGCTTCAATTCAATGGTATTACTGTTCTAGATTGATCATAAACCTGGTCTGACCTTAATCTGATATAGAGTTTATAGCAGTCAAGAGGAATTATCACAAGACCCAATAGTCAAAAACAAGACTGCTGCTATCAAAGCATCTCGCATTTCAACACCCAAAGCACCAGGATGATTACCTTTCATGCCCTACTGCTTCGATGCAGTTAATTATTCACCAGGTCTTGAGTACATGCACTGAGCAGTAACTGGATATTCTTTTAAGGAGGTTAACATTTATATCACTTTCATTCTGATCCAGTAAAGTTCGTAATTACTGTTCATCTCTGCTTGTTCAATACTTTAAACAGACTTTAAATAAGAGACTCCCCCAATCCACCCATCTGCCTTATACATCCAGAATACCTAACTATGGAGAAATATGAAATCTCACAGACTTCACTACAATAAAAAATGATTACCTTTTGTTTTTCTAAGCTCTTTATAATCATTCCTAATCCAAATGCTCGAGTCACATCAGCAATGCCTTTTAAACTGAGAACATAAAAAGAAAAACATAATGAACAAATAATCCAATAATAAATAATAGAGACAGCCAACATGGTTGATGAAGATATAGGTCACATCTATCATTTCTTTGGACCACCATAAGGCCTCCACATCACCACCTCCTGCATCCAGCCCAACACTAAAGCTGAATTTGTCCATTCAACATGAAAACTCAAACATTTCAAATGTTTCTGTAACTGATGTTTCCCTATCAGATCTTTCCCTGTTTTATGTTTACTTTAAATCCATTTTTCCCACGGATCTAAATAACAAAAGAGATTTTATAAGAAAGTATTTTATCATAGACACTACAATTAATAATTTTACCATGGCTTATACTTCTGCTGCCACTTTACCCTGTAACTCAGAAGATGAGCTCATTGATAATTTGTCTCTGGAAAGATGGAATCTCCATAGAGAAATGCTCGAGGAGTGGGAAATGAAAAGAGGGAGTGCCAAAAAGCAAAGGTGGTGGAGGAATGGATTCCGAGTTCACTATGAAATCTATGAAGAGAGACTTTACAGATATAATTAAAAAAATAAAAGATGCAACAGAATTATTCTTCTACATTAAGAACATCAACAATGGTCACGCCTTATTTGCCACTGTTGACAGGTTAACAAACCCTATTATCGACGTGGCTGATTAACTCCAATCTAAAAAGGCCTGCAATGACTTTTAGAAAAATTTTACTACTATTGCAAAAGCAGTCTGCACATAAACTTCAACTCCAGTACAATACTGTCTCCAATCAGAATAAACACTGTTAAAATGCCCTAATTCTAATAAACTGCATCTAATCTCCTCTACATACTGTCTTAATGTTTTACCCACATGTTTTATTAAGCAGGTTTACCTGTTTTAGAGTCTGATTTGATTCCAATCACAAACCTTTCTCACTGGCCGAAAACATTTTTTAAACCAAATGCCAAATGTTGATTCTTAGCGGGTCAACCCATGTTTGAAAAGCATGAGTTAACCTAGTATTTTCAGTGGGAAAGAGGCTATAAACACAACCCTTATGTCGGGTGCCTTAAAAACAGCTACCATTGATGAAGAAGAGAAACAGTTAACAATGACAAGCTGCTTTAATGTCTTCCAGTCAGGTTTCTCTGCAAACCACAGTACAGAGGATGTCCTGAACAGTTCAGACCGCAGTCTGGTTGCAGTAACATTAATATAGTGTAAAAGAAAATGGCAAAAAAATTATTTATGCAGAAGACATCGGAATGGAGCATCACATCCTGCAGTGTGAATGTAGCCAAACTGACCCTAAAAAGGTAATAGGAGGATCAGCCTCATCTGCATCCACTGATCTGCTGAAAGGTTCAGCATATAATGAATTCAGATATTTGCCCAAATTTTTTATAAGCTAGCTTCCAATAAGATTTTTTTATCCTCATAGCTGCTGCTTCCTCATATTAGGATCTGTTTTTTAAACCTAAAGTATAGTGTCCCAAGCCTCCAGCAGTTTCTGAAACATTCAGACTTGAACCAGACTTGAAACTATCTTAAACCAACAAATATGTCACATTACTTGATTCCTCTTTCTTCATCACATGGGTGGTTATCATGAGCCTAATCAGTTTCAGCACAACTAATGACAAATCAATTGAGTTGCTACTTGTGATTGATTAGCTTTACATTAAATTCATCCATGAATGAATCGTTTTCAGTGTTTCACTTCGGCTGTGATTCATTTCTTTTTTTGTGCTCATTTTAGATATTAAAAATAAAGTTTCTTACAATAAAAAGACTTGCAGTAAACAACCGGTCAGACAGCTATAGTGCTTCCTTTTCAAAGAAATGTTAGGGAAAATAAATGTCATAACACAAGCATTTTTTGTGGGTACTTTCCAGCTCCTTACTTAGTTTTTGTTTCATGTTGTTTGGTGAGGTAACTAATCTTTATCATTTCGATTACGGCCAACAGATTACCCTTACATTTGTAATTTCTTCCTGTAATGCAAACGCAAGTGAGAAAGAATGACCACATTTTGCAGGTTCATTCCAGGAAAGACTACTTTGTAATATAGGTGGAGTTACAGGCCGTCTACTCCCTCCCTCTCTCTGCAGTCATAGGAGTGCCTTTTACTGTCTCTATATCAGCGATTGTTGAACCATAGAAATTCTTCCTGCAAAGTCGCTGTGAAGAAGAGCTGAATCAGTGCAGTCCTCAATGATTCAGTATGAAACAAGGTAAGACCTTCATCCCAACCTTCCAGTAAAGATGGGAATGAACGCCGTCTTTTATTAATGTACCAATGTTTTATATCTGAATGTCCCACAGACATTAAGTACTATGGGTTGAGGAACCAAGGAGCAACATGCTACCTGAACAGTATTCTGCAGGTTCTGTTTATGACCAAGGAGTTCAGAGAGGCTGTAGAAAGGTTGGTGAATCAATCAAACACCATTTTTTATGTTATAACGTCTGTTGTATTTCAAGGTAGCCACTGTATCTCTGACAACTTTCTATTAACAGATGTCCTATAGACCATAAAGATCGCATTGATGTTCAACTGCATAGTTTGTTTGAAAGTTTAAAGGAAAGAACATCAGAAACCAGAGACGTAACAAGGAAGCTGGGGATAGAAAGAGGTAATTTATAAAATGCATTAAACAACAATGAGCTTGTTTCTTGATTAGCCTGACAAGCTTTAGAGAAAATAAAATGAACAGCAACATTCATTATAATAAAAAATAAAGACGCTGTATTTCATGGATCATTCTTCCTCTATTCTCTCAGTTTATGAACAGTATGATTCTGGTCAGTACTTTGAGAAGATTTTATCTATGGTCAGTGATGAAGCATCAAAGGTAAATGATTCTTTAAATCACTGTGAGATCAGGATGGAGACTGAATTAGAGAATCTGCATTAAGCATAGATGCTTGTTTTCCATCAAAATGTGTTTTCAGGTATTTAAAGGACACCTGACCCACAGGACTGTTTGTGGTGGATGTTCTGCACATACTGAAGAAGATGTGCCATTTTGGTATCTTTCTCTTCCACTGATGGATTCTAGTGATCAAAACTACAGCGTGGTGAGAAACAACCTGCAGACTGGAAACCATTTCATTTCCGACCAAACTCCTGTCATAAATGTGATTTGGGCTAGACAATGATTTAT